GGTATTGACATAAGTCCATTTCGCATATATCTTATTAAAACAGGCATAACCTGCACAACACTAATTGTATCATCATGATCGGACCATTCCACTTGCAAAACCGACACCAACATAAATCGGTTTGACAACCTTAATATTTTGAGTTAAAAATAGTTACTTGTACCCGATATTATGGAGGAAATGTATAACTAGAATAATATGAAAATTATAGGCTTAATTGCAAGTTTGATCACTCGAATTGCTACAAAATTTCATGTTTGCCCCTCGAATTAATTTATTCCATTTATAGTCACTTAAATTAGGTTAACAGTCCAAGTTTGGTCACTGGCCGTTAGTCTCCGCTAACTTTTGCTGATGTGGCAGTCAACTCTTATAGTTGACCGTTAAATGCATAACGTGGCAATTAAAAAATTAAAAATTTCCACCTCAACTATTAAAAAATAATAAAACCCTTTTCTAATCTAACCTCGGCTGCAACCTTGTTGTGCCCGAACAGAGTCCCCGTCATCCGTCCCGTCTAGCCACCACCCCTCTCCCCGTCATCGTCGTCGTCAGCTCCTCCAACCTAGTTGGCCTCTTCGACGAATCAGGGTTTAGCGTCTCGATCGGCAAATCCCGAGACGACTCATTCTACTTTACTGCTTCCTCGTCAGGTGGAACTCTATCTTCTGCTGCATCAACGCCGCAGTAACAAAAGAAGGTGGAGGCAACGGAAATCTCCGTCGATGCCGACACCGACGAGGACGATCCATCCTTCCCGACCACCAAAGTATTGCTCCTCTGTCCGCCATAACCAAGCTCTCTATTCCGTTTCCCCACGAATTCTTACCGCAAAGAATCCGACCCTTACTCTTGCCAGTCACAACTGTACGTGGGCACCGGGCCATGAGGCCCACGGGCTAGCACGGCACGACACTGTTAGAGAATGGCACAAGCACGGACACGAAATAAATGGGCCAGCCCGGCACGAGCACGAATAATTTATGGGCCGTGTCGGGCCTAAACATCATGGGCACGGGCACGGCACGATATATATATATGTGGGTCGTGTCGGGCCTAATATTTTTGAGACTTTATTGAGTATAAGAACGGACATGGCACGAAAATAATATTTATTTGATAGAAAATAAATATAAAAAGAATTATAGGTTCAAATATTACAAAACACAAGTAGAAAAATAGTTATTTGTTGTTGTTAGAAGTGTCATAAAGATATATATGTAATTACTAACATAAGTAAAAATGGACAAAGAATTAAACAAAGCCGAATCACACTCGCTATACTTCTAATTTTCTTTTCCCCCTTATTTGTTACTTTTCTCAAACATTATCGGTTAATACTATCTTCCTCCGTCCAATTTTCACCTTCTTTTTCATTCTCTCTTTTGTTTTCGTCCTTTTCATTAAACACGAATACGAGCATGGCACGAGCACGAATATCACGGCACGATTCGAACTGTGCCCGGGACTGGGCTGGGCCTAGCAAAGTTAACAAATGGGCTTGCATGGCACGACACGAAAACTGACAGGCCGTGCCAAGCACGGCACGAAATAAATGGGCACGAAGAGTGCCTGTGCCGTGCCGGCCTAAGCACGGCCTAGCGCCCATGTACAGTAACAACCAATCAACATCCCGACTCTTAGCGTCGATCCCCTTGCAATTATAGAGAAAGAAATAGGATCCTCAAATGAGGGATTAGAATTAGGGCTGGAAGTTTGGTAACGATATTTGGTATATACCGAATACGTACCAAATTTTTCTATATTTGGTATTACCGAATACACGTATTATTTTGTGGGATTGGGATTGGGATTGAATTTCAATTGTTATTCGGTATTAGGGATTACGAGATTGGGATCGGTATATACCAAAATACCGATCAATACCGAAATATAAGCTAGTGTGTATTTTATCCTCTCAATTATCCTCTCTCGTCCACTACTACGCGACCCACAACCACCAAGAGTGCCATTTAATTATACATAGATCATTACATCACTATTTCACACTAGTATTAGTCGTCTCTCAACCTCATATTCGTCAAATTAAAGATGACCAATTACAAGAACTTGAGATGTTAGCTCTAGGCAACTCAAGACTCTTTGCTTAGTCGCTTTACCCTAAACTAAACAATAAAATCTAATTTATATATTTGATTATTAATTATAAAGGTAATTAATTTTGTATTCGATAATATCGATTGGGATACCGAGGTACTGATTGGGATACCGAAATATTTAGGGATTGGGATACCGAAATTATTTAGGGATTGAGATTGGGATTGATTTTAGAGTGTATTTCGGTATTCGGGATTTCGGTATTTGGCATTGGGATACCGATACCGTACCGATTTCCACCCCTAATTAGAATTACCCTTTTTAATTAGTACCTTGAGTGTTGCTCTGTTTTTGGAGTTGGCGGTGTTTAAGATACATTTCATCTCCGACCTCCGCCATCTTCATCGTCGGTCGAGTGCGCCAGCACCAGTACAACTTTCGCCCCACTGAATGCAGTGCGGTCAAGTCCATTCCGTTTTCCATCACTGGCCGAGTTCCCTGTCACCGCTCCAACCCGAGTCGGGTCTTTGCCCGATAGATTCCAGGAGCAACCTCCAGTTGCCCCTCCATGTCACTACCCACCAATCAACATACCGACATGAACTCCAGGGTCCTGACGCAAGTGGAGGCCAGGAGAGAAATTAAGGAACTAGATTGGAATTTGACCATATATGTTGAATGGATAACATAAAGAGAAATTAAGGAACTAGATTGACATTATTTATGGTTTCAGTGGAGTTTTTAAGTTATCCGAAACAGAGTGTTCTTGCTACAGATAAGGTAATTAATTATCTTTGAAAGGGGTTATGCCTTTTTATCCAATAGAGGCCGGAACTGCTTAAAACCCATGAACTCACAAGCAGCAATGCTGAAGTTCCCAGCAGTCGAGGCGGTGGTGGGGAGGTTGGTATCGACGGCGGGAAGCAAGGTTAGGTGAGTATCGGCGGCGGCGCTCACGAAGAAGAGAGGAGTTGGAGACGCCATATCTAGCGGTCTCTCTCTGTTGCATGTCCTAGTACACGACAGGACTGGAGCGACGAGGTGGCGACTCAGACGGAAGAGGGGTGGTGGCTAGATGGGGCAGATGACAGGGACTCTGTTCGGGCACAACAAGGTTGCAGTCGAGGTTAGATTAGAAAAGGTTTGTATTATTTTTTAATAGTTGAGATGGAAATTTTTAATTTTTAATTTTTTAATTGTCACGTTATGCATTTAACGGTCAATTATAAGAGTTGACCGCCACATCAGCAAAAGTTAACGGAGACTAACAGCCAGTGACCAAACTTGGACTGTTAACCTAATTTAAGTGACTATAAATGGAATAAATTAATTTGAATGACAAACGTGAAATTTTGTAGCAATTCGAGTAACCAACTAAATGCAAACTAATTTATTTGGTATTGACAAAAGTCCATTTCTCATGTATCTTATTAAAACAGGCATAACCGACACAACACTAATTGTATCATGATCGGACCATTCCACTTACAAAACCGGCACCAACATAAATCGGTTGGACAACCTTAATATTTTGAGTTAAAAATAGTTACTTGTACCCGATATTATGGAGGAAATATATAACTAGAATAATATGGAAATTATATATAAACTTTTGCACGCACAATATCGTCTAGAAACTGTAATCAAAATGTACAAAATTGAATGAAACCTATAATTTCAACATCAAATGATACGAACAGGCACAAGAAAAATATAGTAGTTATGCTTTCAAGATTGGGAATATTTTTAAATGATACTTGGTTGCAATATCAGTACTATACGACACGGTTACCATAATTGTGTTATCACAAAGTCCATATTAATCTTATATTTTATATAAATAATTCTATATTTTACATATCATTGTAAACATAAATAAAAGTTCATTTTATATACTTTTATTTTAAGTATCTAATTGTTTACTATTAGTTATCAATCCCTAACTATAAATTATTTTGTATGAAGTGTGAACTAATTCTTGTAATTGCTTCTTCCGAACTAATTTATCTGGTATTGATAAAATCCATTTCTATGTATATTATTAAAACATGATAACTGGCATAACAATGGTTGTACCACGGTTGGACCATTTCACTTGCGAAAACCGACGCCGGTATAAATCGATTTGACAGCCTTAATATTTTTTAGTTAAAAATATTTACTTGCACTCGAATTCATGGAGGTAAAATATAACTAGAATGATATGGAAATTAAATTAGATATAAACTTTTGCACGCACACTTTCTTCTAGAAATTGTAATATTCAAAATGTACAAAATTGAATGAAAGCTATACTTACCATAATTTGATTTCAACATCAAATGATACGAACATGCACACAAAAAAATACAGTACTTATGTTATGCTTTCAAGATTGGGAATATATATATATATTTTTAAAAAAAAAAAAACAAGATTGGGAATATTTTGATTTTAATGATACTGTAATAAATATTGGGAATATGTTATGTTAATGATACTTGGTTGCAATATCAGTACTATACGATACGGTTACCATAATTGTATTATCACAAAGTCCATAAAATTATAGATCACTGTAATAAATTGAGATTCTTAGTACCTATTTATCCCGCAAATAAAACTCCAAAAGATTAGCCTAAAATTGATTCGAATCATTGTAATCTTCCTAAATTAGAGAACTTAAATTTCACCGGTTCCTAATCTACATGTCTTTGGTTTGGAGATCTGAATACTATATGTATACAGTTGAAGACAAGTCTAAAATTGATTCATACTATTCACATCTTAAGCAGTACAACGAGAGATCTAGACTCAACATGGGTGCAAAGGCTACAGCACTACTTTTTCTAGCTTTATGGTTTATGATCTCTTTCACTCACCGTGTAAACGCCCGCTACAAATCGGCTACAACTATTCAGGTATGTAAACAAACTATATACCGTTCTTCTCGTTAGCTGTATATGTACTTGATTGTATTCTTGACTACTGTTTCGTGGTCCGTCAAACAGACCACGAATGGAGAAACGTACAATTGCGTCGATTTCTACGAGCAACCTGCATTCGATCATCCTTTACTCAAGGATAACAAATTCAACTTTCAGGTCTGTCACTTGTTACATACAGATTTTTATTTTTAATTTCCTCGAGTGGCAACAATTGTAACGACTTAAAATTGGTACCCTCGTATGCAGCCAAGCTCTTCCTACTCTGTAGATTCCTCAGGATCGTCGAACAAGAAGCAGAGTGATATATGGCTCAATGGGAAAGGCTGTCCAATTGGCACAGTTCCGATCAGGAAAACTACGAGAGATGATCTCTCGAGGGCAGAGTCGGCTGCTGAAACAGTACATACAAACACAAACAACAACTACTTGCATCCACAGCGCTACATAGACGACAACCCAAATGTTCATGTAAGTGTTCTATGATGTGCACGTATTTTATATCATTCAACCATCGCAAAAAAAAAAAAAAACAAGCACTATATGTAATTTGTTCGTTTACAGGTCGCGGTGCTCCGAACAAGTGAAGAGAAGAAATACTATGGTGCTGGAATGATCACGAGCGTTTACAATTTTGCTGTCAGTAGCCGACAGTACAGCTCCAGCCGCATCAAACTTCAGAACGGCCCCGACAGCATTGTCGTTGGATGGACAGTAAGAAAAAAAATGGAAAACAGAACCATTTACTCTGTTTTGAATCCTCTAATTAAGAAGCAAACTATAATCTTTCCTTCTGTTTGATCTCTACCTGCAGATCAATCCAGGGCTCTATGGTGACAATGCAACTCGCCATTTCATATACACAAGTGTAAGTTCTTAATTATCGCTTGTGTGCTATGTGCATTGATTTGATATATGTTTCCATCAACCTAATGAAAGAGTTGTGCTTCTGCTAATTCAATACTTTCTTTTCTTATCTAACCATTTCAGACCAAGGACTCGCATTGTTACAACACGTTGTGTCCCGGATTCATACTCATGTCCCCCGACACTCCTTTTGATTCTGTTCTTCAAGTTTCTGAAAGAGGAAATCACATAAGGGCCCAGAAATTCTTTGTCCGCAAGGATGCTGCAAGTGGGGATTGGGTTCTTCAAATCGGACTGGACAACACAACAGTTGGAACATGGCCACAGAGGATATTCAGCAAACTGAACGATTCTGCAACTTATGTCGACTGGGGAGGAGAAGCATACTCTGCCTCTTCCGAAGATCTTCCACCGATGGGTTCAGGTTTCCCGCCGATGCAAAGTTCGAAGCTCGATGGCTATGGCAGGCAAGTCACGGTTGTAGATGAGAACCAGCAGGTCGATTACAACCCTCCAGAGTGTGTGACATATACGAGTAACAATAAGAGGTACAAGATATTTGATGAAGGTGTTCTGGAAACAGACAACCAGCGTCTTATTTTGTTTGGTGGAAGCTCTGGTCCAGCTTGATCTTGAGTTAGTTAGTTCTATCTGCTTTGGTTTGTTATCATGTCCATTTACAAGAAAAAGCGTTAGCTAGTTTGATTCAATATGTGTTGATGTTTATTCCATTATTGGCGCTGAGTTTTCGAATTGGAGTGTCCTAGTTCTATAAATATTATCATGTTCATTTACAAGTAAAAGCGTTAGCTAGCTTGATTCAATATGTGTTGATGTCTACTCCATTATTATTCGCGCAGAGTTTTCGAATTGGAGTGTCCTAGTTCTATATTTATAGACACTCAAGGCCTTTTTATGGTTTGTTCATTCTCCTGTTTCTATAGCACAGAAAATTGTGGAGAGATTTACTTAACTCGCCCATACACTAATGGCCTTGTGACATGAAATCTCTGAAAATGGAGAATCTAGTGGCCTATAGAGACTCACAATGCCTTTAAAATCAAGTCTAAACGCCGTAATCACCAGTCCAGAGAGCCTACAAGTGGGCCTATAGTCAGTCGTTTTTCTGGCCCATTCACGAAGCCCACACGTGGATATGGCCCATTCTTCCATCCGCCCATGCAGTCCATACTAGCTAGACTCGTTGTTTTGATATTAGACAGTTTGTGGTCCTTTATGTAATTAGCCGTCTGTTTATGTTAATATTTTCGTGAGTTAATAGCAATTTGTGCCCTATATTGTATGTTAACAAATGTATCTCTTTATTTTATTTTTTTTACACATTCATATCCTTCAATTAGGGTTATTAATGAACCAACCCGCTCATAAACGACTCGACGTTCGACTCGAGAAAAACTCATTCGATACTCAGACTTGTCCTAATCGAGCTGGCTCACAAACAAGCTCGTTAACTAAATGAGCCGAACTTGTGCCATGTCATGTTCAGCTCGAAAGCTCGTGAACAAGCTCGTTTAACTTATGTCGTCTAAAGTAAATTTAAATAGTTTATTAATTTAATTGGAAATACAAAAAAAAAAAAAAACATATACACAATCCCTCACTAACGCAATCTCCCATATCGACGTCCTTAGCTCCTACCAAATTTGATGATTGTTGGGGATGTTACTAAATCCGTATTGCATAGACTAAGTAGTAGCACACCAGTATTGTGGCACGTTACCGAGAATTGGCGCCAAATCAGACTAAGTAGTAGCTCACCAGTGGCGGAGGCAGCATTTCAAACCACACCTGTCCTCTTTTCATAACTTAAATATATAAGTGTCTAATAAAATAATTATTTAATAAAAAATAATTATATCCAAATAATTCATTCATAAATTAAAAATAACCGATTATACTATCATACTTTTCATAAACAACTACGAAGGAATTTCATATAATGAAAGAAACGTAAAAACATTCGTTGTCTACACTATTATATAAGTCTCTTTCAATGTAGCTTATTAAACAAGTATTAGCAAACTGGTCGCCAAATCGACTTGGAAACTTGTTCTTAATATAACTCAAAGCTGAAAATGCTCTTTTTACACTTGCAGTTGTAATTGGTAGATCAAAACTAGTGGGATTGCCGTTGTCGCTAGAGAATTTCAGGGTTGTTGGGGAAAGATCGAATAGGCATAAGGAGAAAAGAGACCCGATTATGTCTTTATTGCAATTGGAATTTCGTTTATAGTATAATACATTAATTTTATGTCAATTTTGGACAAGTAATGAGTTATGTTGTAGTGACAAAGTACTCTAATACTACCTATACATGTTGTGTTCCATCACTAATATAAATATATATGTCGTATTTTTGTTCCATAGAAATTTACCCATGTCCCGGGACAAGCCCAAAAGGGCCTGCCTCCGCCACTGAGCGCACCAGCATAGTGACGCCCAACCCTGACTCAAACTGAGACTAATTAAGTAGTAGCGCACCAACATTGTGGTGTGCTAGCAATGACGCCCAAACTAAAATGAGACTAAGTAGTAGTGCTCCAACACCAAATTCATAATGCAACAAAATCCAAAAAAATTTAGAACTCAAAACCTTCATTTTCAGTGCAGCACCAAATTCTCTCTGCCTTCCCAATTTTTTCGAAACAAACCGAGATACTTATTACGAACCACCTCTATCTGGTTCAAGCATGGACATGGAAGCCACCCATCCGCACATCAGAAATTTGGGTTCATCAGTAAAATAGGATTAGATTGATTCAGTTCTAGTTCAATAAGCCAACTTTCTTGTAGCTCTCCACAGCGTCCACCAGAGTTTCCTGGTGCCTTAGACCAACTCGGCCATCTCAACTTGTTGATTGTTGATGAGCTAATAATTATCTAGTTCATTAGTTTCATGCATGGTTAGTCTGTATTGATAGAAACCCGGTCTCCAAGAGGAACATGTCTTATATCCTTATTAGAATTATTAATAGTGTTAAATAACAGAGAAAGGTTTCAAATCTTTCTTCCTTTTCTTCTTCTTGGGATTTCCTTCACAGGAATGAGATTGAGGCTCTGATACCATGTTAGATGATAGAATGGATCGTTGATCCTTGTGTAGTAAAGCCACTCATTCTTCTTGCTTTGTATTGATAGTTTACAGAGTATTTATACATACACAACAGCAGTATACAGACAAACACATTAAATACATGATCTAATATCTTGACTCTTGAATACCAAAACTTCTACGTGATTTTGGTTGATGCAAGAGTGATTGGAGGAACAGTGATTTGTGCATATTAACTCCGCTAACAGAAATTACTATTAGGGTCTTTCATTATTTCCTATAAATATGTAATTTGGATATTCAGTGAAAGACAATCCAGAAACAAATTAGTAAATCATTTTTCTAAAGTCTTTAAAGTTGTAAATTATGGTTTGGTATGTAAATTAAACGGTATTAAGAAAGGTTTTAATCGATATGGTTTCATAAAGTGGTTTCAATTATATATGAGTGTTACATTGTTAACAGAGTTGGATAGAGACTAACGGAGAGTGACTAAATGTGACATGTTTCAGTAATTTGAGTGACCAAATTTGATATTAATTTTTTAGTGACTAAACATGATACGATTTAGTAATCCCAATGACCAAATGTGGCCGATTTAATAATAGAGAATCAAGTGGCGTATAGAGACTCATAATTATGGCTGCAAATGAAACGAGTTGCTCGTGAGCGGCTCGACGTTCGACTCGAGAAAATCTCGTTCGAAACACGGCTCTTTAATAAATGAGCCGAACATTAGCTAAACTTTGTTAAGCTCATGAAGCTCGCAAGCTAGCTCGACTCGGTGGCTTGTTGAGCTAAAATCGTTAGCTGGCTCGTTTAGAGCTCATGATATGTCTCAACATGTGGTTAGAGAGCCAACTCGATTACCGACTTTATGGACGAATCATTCTATATCTTATGATTTTAATTCATATGGTTGTTAAATTATATATATTTCGCCATATATAAAGTTTAACACGTTGAGAATGTGAGCAAATATATCATATTTTCTATTTTAAAAAGAAATTATGTATCATAGATTGCTTCGATACTATGAAATAATATGATTTGGAGTAGTTAAAATTTATTAACTAAATGATATATGATACCAACAAAGTATAATATGATATTAACTAACAAAATAAATGATATGTATCATGATATACAAAATGAAATAGCAAATAAAGGTGAAGATTTTAGTAAACAAACTAACTCCGACTCGGCTCGTTTATTTAATGAGTCGAACTCAAGCAGAAATAAAACTCGACTCGACTCGACTCATTTTCAGCCCAACTCACAAAGTCACAATGCCTTAAAAAAAACAAGTGTAAGCGCACCGTACTCTCCAGTCCAGAGAGCCTACAAGTGGCCTATAGTCATTCGTTGTTTTGGCCCATTCATGAGCCCACATGGCCCATTCTTCCATCCGCCCATGCAGCCCAAACTAGATAGAGACGTCGTTTTGAAGTTAGTCCTATTAGAAGTTAGACAGTTTGTTGTCCGTTATGTAATTAGCCGTCTATTTGTTTATGTTAATATTTTCGTGGGAGAGCTAGGGTTGCAGGCAGCTAAATTAACCATGTAGCCTGCCTGCATTGTATGAGGTAGCTAATCTTGTGGTGAATAAGAGAACTAAATGTGATTGGGTTGGGTTGTGGACTAGTCTTAACATTCAATATTGGGAATGTTGGGAAAATTACGTAAATTTTGTGCTCTTTGTTCGTTTATTTATTCGTTTGATTGATGTCTCTTTGGATTTTTTGTGTTGGGGTTAGACGACGCTATTTTCTTTGGTTTTTTGCGCGTCGGCCGGTGACTTGTGCTTACGTTTGCTCATTGCAGGGTGTTGGTCAACTTTCACGTCAGATAAAGTTAATGGAGAGTGACCGAACCTGGACGGTATAACTAATTTAAGTGACTACGAATGAAATAAATTAATTCTAGTGACAAAGGTGAACTTACTAATAATAATTAAAAGGGACCAAACTTGCAATTTTACCCCTATCCCTTGTCAATATATAAGGCAGGGGGCACTGGCTATATTTCCATACACCGTGTTCATCTACTGTTATTCAGCTTCCATAAAGTTAATAACTAGCTAGCAGGCTCGGCCGCAAGGGAAAATGTCCGGCAACACCACCTTCGGCGACGACGGCTTCAAATTTGGCGGGAACGGCACCTCCGGCGGAGGAAGCAGCGGAGGAGGCAGCCAGAAGGAGTGGGTGATGGCAGTCGTGGCGCTGGCGGCGATTCTGCTCTTCGTGCCAGCGGTGGCGGGGTGCATCCACCTCGGCCGCTGGTGCAGGAGCAACAGGCAAGTTACCCCTGTCTCATCAGCTTGAGGTCAGGACTCCCATTCGAGAAATTTGAAGAAGAGAAGAAGATTCAAGCAAGTCATGTTCATATCTCCTTTATTCGAGTTCTCTTTCCCTAAGTGTTTGAGGAAGGCTAGCTAGATGTACTTGAATAATTGTGGTTTGTGAGCCTAGACTTGGCATTGCTCTATTTCTATATCTAATCTATGTTTTATCGAGTTTCTCTTAATTTTTGCCAATTTTGTGTGGATTATGTTCTT